ATGTCTCATTCCCCAACCTCGATGGCGATGCTGAGGAGACGTCGCTGGGATTGGCAGTTCGCGCTCTGGGACGCGTCGTGACCCCATGTTGTACAGCCACCTCGACTGCTCGAGGCCGGGATGGCGTCGGGGGGCATGATCGTTGCAGGCGGGGCCTGGTCTGGACGACATCCATATGGCGGTACCTTGGGCGCAGGGTGGCCGAAGTAGCTCGCTCTTGAGACGAGGTGGCGGCAAGCACTTGCTAGCCTACGCACTCAACGACCCACCCCCTAGATCGTCGGCCCAAAGAGCCAGGCGAGTAGTGACGCCGACAATCCGTCTGGCGGCTGCGCCTTATCGTATTCGAGTTGCAGTGCCGTCGTCATTTACCTCACTCTCTTCGCTGCAGCGTGCCAGCCTAGACTAGCGCCCGTTACGGGGGCGGTGAGCTCATTCCCATCTGATATTGCCTGTATGCTTGCGCTTAGCCCCATGTCGGCGGCGTAGACCAGGCTTCCGGTTGGTTTGGCCATCGGCGCGTTCACGACCCCCGAAAGGCCCTAGAAACTTTCGACGGGCAGCGAAATGCATGTCTTTCCTCAGTCCACGCGAAAAGGCTGCACCCTGTGGCATCTGTCCGCTGCATATGGCGTGGGGAACATTTCGTCCATGGACAGACTGGGCAGGTCACGCTGTGCATGCTGCGGTGGTTACGCGCGGATGCTAGGTCACCATGTTCAGGCGTATCGCTGAGAAGAGCTTCCACCGCCCTACGACGTACACGGGGTGGTTGAGGCGGCGCGGGGGCCTCCCGCTTCGTTAGCTGCGGGCCACCCTACGGTCCGGCGTTCGCCTGACAAGCAGCCTGACTAGTAAGTTCCTTGGTTCTCACGAGCGCGAAGGGGGGCAGGGAGGCCGCCAGCAGCTTCTGCAGATCCCCGAGGTCGCGTCAATCAAATGGAGCAACAGGTGGCTATCGAAGCCTATCCAGATGAGGATTCATGATGAGGTTGCGATATATCTGCCCACACGGAGATGAGTCGCGGCGACGCCCACGGGCCGTGAAGACGATACAGCCGGCGACGGATAGTCAGGCAGAAAATCCAGTCGAGTGGCTTATGTAGCATGTACTTAAGAGGTGCCTCGAATCTGAAGCGCCCATCCCTCACAAGACAGTGATGTCTTTCCGGAAGAGCAAGCAAATAGACTGTATGGCTCTCAAAGCGTGGGCGGGCCATTGATTTGTGACTTCCAGAGCTTGCGCCTCAAATCGTCCGGCACGGCCTGTTTAACAACACATGAAGAGTACACTTTGATCTCTGGAGTCTTTGCCGTTTTCTCATATATCGCGACGCAGTGTCTGCCTCCGTGCTCTTCGACAGCCTGGCGTAAATGGGCCAAGACAGTGACCAACTTGCGGAGGTCGGCCTGGTGTCTCTCCTCCCAGTTTGTAAACCGAGCTGCAACATGGGTGATCTTCAGCTGCTCAAAGGTTCCATTGGCGTGCTGCCCGATGATAAGCCAAGGCGTCCTGCCAAACCAGAGCTGTGGCATGTACGCGCTTGGGCTCTTAGGCTTGATTGCCGTCTTGATTTCTGCCGCCGTCGCTTGAGCCATCGACGGTTGCGTTGGCAATTTGGGGCTAGCAGCGACCTCCCCAGGACCGTCTCCTACTGCTAGCCGCCCCATTGCACCTTCCAGCGGCTCGGAGCAGCTACCCTCGCCCGTCTTCTCGTAGCATGCGTCCACCTCAAAGCGTACCACGCATGCGAGGTCACCTAGCTGGTATCGAAGAGCCCGGTGATGTGCCGCGCTGTCTTCTAGACCAGGTGGGTACGTCGTGAACTTGCGCTCGAAGTTCCTGCCCCACCCGGAGTTCTTGGAACCACTGATCAGTTCGCGGGCGGTCCTCTCGCAACGCTCGATGACCAGAGTTCGGTGGACGAGGTGTAGGTTGACGCGAAAGCTGTCTTGACTTCGGCCCGCAGAGAAATCGAGGAGCTTTCTAAGGCTGTTCCGGTTCACCAGGACATCAATATCATCAAAGCGAAACGATGGGTTCATCGATGCCGTAGCGCGAAACAACGGCGCGAACGGAAAGTCGGGGACGCGTGCTGCATTCTGGTCCACGAAAAAGGTGCCTCGATCCTTCGGGATGGTAACCGGTAAGGGAATGTTCTGAAAGACTGCTGCGGAACCTATTGATAGTTACTCATGTGTGATGTTTTCCCCAGGCGCTTCAAGCTTACCAGGTATGTGGATCTTTTCATCCTGGCCAATTGCCCAGCTGTAGCTGCAAACCAGTTCGCAACGTGAAGCGCTAGAAACCGAGGCCTCCGACGGAACGAGAGAAGGGTGATCAATGCTACGAATCACCTGACGATGCACATCCTTCCACAGCCAGGCCTCAAGACGATGCTTGCCGGGCCGACGAGATCGTGGGCCCCTGTGATGCTGTTGCTCGCTGGAGTGTTGTTCCATCGTGTGTGCCGCGCTCTCTGCGGGGATCCTAGGGCAAGATAACGTGGTGCTATCGTAGGCTGGGAGGCCAGTGCCCGAGGAGCTGGCCACTAGGCTATGTAAGTACTTTGGGAGACTGCTCGCCCAGAACAATCGACAGGCATTCGGTCGAGGCAACCAGACTGGCGCTCTCAAGGTGGCTGATAGGGCTCCATAGAAAGCGTCATGACGGAGAGGAGTTCGGAAAAAGATAGCTGCGGCGTCAGTCTCAAACGTTTGACGGTGCATACATACCTCGGGCTCACTCCGATTGGCCCATCAGGAGGCGCCCAAACCGAGGGCCTTTTCCGAGAAATCCTGGAGACATACCGAGCGACCCGTGAAGGATCTATTTGAGAGATGTCGTTTCTTTTCCTCGAACCAGTGTGCCGAAAGGTGCATGATGTACTGATATTCCTGGAGCAGAACACTCCCAAATTTACGAGCTGGTTTTTTCAGTCATTCCTGTCGTCACCTGAGATGTTCTCCTTCACGATTACCACTGGTGATTACGTCCAGGCAATGTCCCGTCTCTCCAATCCGTGCAAGATCACCCTTATTGACCAAAGACACGCTTGAGGTAGTTCTGTTTGGTGATATCACGATGATAGATCACTTCACACAAGCCACATTATCCCCGAGCTGCGAAGCAGATGCAAGAAACTGCTCGTATGAGTCTGTACTGAAAACCGGCATCACCATTGCGCGAATTTCACTGTGCCACCCGAGGCGACCCGGCCATCACAGCGACAAGGACAGTATATCACCTCTGCCAAAGGAGCTTGAATACCATATGCGCCGCGAGATCGGAGTCTATGGAAAGCCATCCATCGGGGGCATCGGGTTACTGAATACTACCGAGACTAAATGGGGAGAAATTTGCTTGCAGCTGACTGATCTCGTGAGAGAAATTTGCTTGCCTATGTCACAATTGGCTCTTAGATTCACCGAACTTTTGTAGGCTTGAAGGACCTCGAAGCAGGGTCGTTGAACCAGCGGACGGGGGTCGAGTACTCCTACAGAAAGTCGAGGATGACTCGGAGTCGGGGCGAGAACAGCACTGGAGCTGACCAACGCGATCGCAGGAGACACTGAGGAAGAGGATACCGTCAGTCTTCGGCCATGTCTACTGCGATCTGACGCAGGACTTCTTTGACAGTTGATTGGGCTTTCCGTAGCCACAACTTATCCATTGTCACGTTTTGCCGTTATTTCCCTTCTCCGGACCCCCTTTGTGAGGATGTTAACGTCGCAATGGCTACTCAAGATGTGGGATGTATGAAGCAGGGCTCCCGGGTTGTGCAGCGGCGGTGAGCAGAATGCTGTAATCGTTCTCACAAGCATCACAGTGGAGGAACCGCAACTCAGCGACACCACGGAGGAGATGGCCACCAACAATGCTTGGCGGGGTCAACTCGCTCCAGATCTTTACGCCACATCCAGCCTTTAGCCCATGGAGCTGCCCAGACACATTCCCTCTCACTTGGCTGAAGATCAGACAAACACTGATCCCCGCTTGCCGAGACAAGGAGACGAAGTACGGCGGTGGCTACGCTGTGTCCAAGAGACTGCTGGTGGTAGTCGTTGATCAGGGTTCCGTACCCGGGTTGTAAAGCAAGGCGGGTCACGGGTGATGCACCCCCATTTGAAAGTGCTTACTTGCGCCTCGACTGGGGTGAACGCAAGCGCCACTAGTTAGTGTGGGAATGTGCTCTGGGCCCTCTGTATCTCACAGTCAGCCGCACCACGTGGCATACTCGGAGCGGGCGCCACGCTAGTTAGTGAGCAGGGGCGGTTTAGCGTCGCCAAGCACGTTTGACACATACTGCCGTCGTCCAGGGATTGGACAAGCCCACGAGATAAGCCTGCAAGTTCACCTGATCTAACAGACCGTATCTACCCGGTGGTACGTGCCTCTTGCCCAGGCTCCACTGTCCTCGGTTGGTCGACTCGTGGCTATGGAGGTCTGATATGGACGTTCGGATGTCATAAGCAGGCGGCCCCGAGGGATCAGAGTTGGGCAAGGTATTGTGGACTTCTAGCGCTCGGTGGTTTGCCGCGCTGGACGTATGTGCTGTGGACTGCGTTGCACATACACACCTGAGTGGGTCTTCTTCTTTCCCTTTGTGTGCACGACCGGTTTGGGTTCGTAGTCGATCGTAATGGCGACAGTCTTGGATACTGCAGTATAGTCCCTATGTCATTTTCTCTTTTGCACAAACTTCTCGATGTTTCGAAAGCCAAAAACTGTGGAGGGGGTGGTATGAGAGAGTGTAAACAGTAATTGGGCCAAGGAGGTATACTTGGAGACATCCATCTTCGTCTCTAGATAGCAGGCAATGAAACCCCGCAGTTCGCAGATGTCTGTACACAGTGCGGATTGACCGGGATTGTTTATCTAGTGGAGCAATCCGAGAGATGGAAGTATGTATCGTTGCAGTACTGAATAGAGCCGATTCCAATTTGGGGAAAGTGTGGCCTCAGAAAACTAACCAGCATATGAAACCTCGGTGGAGATGTATATACTCTCGCCGACTGATTTGATTGACTGCAGATCGTTCGTGTCCTAGACGCTGCCGCCGTCCTTGCTTCAGGCCAGTCGAGGTGGTTGTATACCATCCCTTTAGGATCCATCCTCAATTACGACCGGGTGGCGGGAAAGAGCGGTGCGGCCTGTCAATGAGAATAGCAAATCATCAGTGGCGGAAGATATAATTGTCTTTCTCCCACCTCTACGGGCTAGTTCATCGCGGGCCTCCATCTCGTGATTCAAACGCAACTGGGTTATGTTCACTGCCTGCCATGTCCACACGCGATACACCAAGCCTCAGCACCCCGTTCAACCCCAAACCTTCCAATTCACACCTGAATGAATCCCTAGAGGGCATTCCAAGGTATCTTTTCCGTGTCTCGGACCCCTCTGCGCTCGGAACAACGACTGAGACCGAGGTGTGCTCTGAGGCCGCCAGGATCTCGCCGGAACACCTACGCGACCTCTATCAATTGCCATCACAGCAGGCTGCTCAGCTCCTCAATACTCACTTGTGGGGGAACTGTTCACATTCCGGCCTAGACAGATGTAACCTGGTATCCTGGACCAGCTCTCTTCTCGTAGCCCTCCAGCTCGGCTTCTTTTGTCACGGCCGCAGTTGGAACCCTCAAGAACTGTCCGAAATCAAGGTTCTAATGATCGATACTCGACAGTTCAATTCAAGGGGTTTTGCTCGCGATTTGCAGGCTATTGCCGCTTTCAAAGATGTATCCGAAGTAGGAACCAAGCTCCGCTCACTTTATGGGTTGCGCAGCAGCGGTCGGTTCTATCCGGGAGAATACCTTTCGCAAGGGAAGCTAACCATCAGCCCCGAAAAGTCTTGCCAAGTATCCATGCAAGAACTCGTCAATCGCGGTATTCGAAATGTTTGTTCTGGGTTGGGCAACGATGCACACTGGGATAAATGGGCTATACGGATCAGAGATCTACGGACCGAGCTTAAGTCTCAATCGCCGCCAATACGGAGTACTGAGGTTCAAGCAGCCATCAACGTGGCAAAGGCTTTTGGGCATTTTGAAATACCTGGAGTCATCATGCTTCTCAGTCTTACCCCTTGTGACTTGTCTAGCGGCGGTGCGGCAATCGTTGACATGCTTCTCGGAGCATACTCCAGTAAATTCCCAATGAACGAGCATGTCACGTGCAACCAAACACAAACGCTGACATCTAGGGGCTTTTTCAGAGCAAGCCGTTATTCGACATGTTTCTTTCCCTTGGTTCATCCCAGGCGCCGATAGTGAAAGGTTGCCTGAATTGGAGAGGTGGCGAGTTCTGAGCGACCGTATTGGAAGGCACTTGACGCTGAACATCGATCAGTTAAGGCGAGAGTCGGAAGGAGGGGATAGCGGGCATGGTCAAGCAGATGACCTGGCAAGTGGTTTCGCAAGTCTTGCAATCCAATCAGATGACGTTAGCTGAAAGAATCGTCTGAATAGTCCGCGACGAGAAAACAGAAGTATTGCAAGCTTCGCCAGGACATTTTATCTCGCTGTCGCAAGGTCTCAAGGAGCGAAAGAATGGAGGCAGGAAGGACAGATCGAGGCAGTCTTCACAGCTCCAAAAGTCGGAAACTCCTATTTGTTACATAAAAACGCCTTTGTTAGTGCTTTTTCCTGGGTGGGCCAAATGGCATTGCCCAGCTCAATCAGTCCCGCACCAAATTCATCAAGCACTCCGGCCACATCTCGCTCATCTGCATGGGTGATGTCTTGATATTCCTCAGGTCCCTTGAACGTTGCGTCGTTCCATATCTCTTTCCACTTGGCCACTGCCTGGGTCGCTTGGGGGCTTTTGCTATGGATGTCTGAGGCCACCATGTAGAACGACGAGCGCTTTGCGTGAAACCTCTTGGGCTTGAATAATGTGATTGTAGAGAACTTTCGAAAGGTGTACAAAAGCATGATTGTGTCTCATTCCTCAAGCTTGTGGAGGAGGATGATCATGGTCCCCCCCGGTTCCGTGTGTTCAAGGCCTAGAGCCAGTTGTGTTGACACCAGCCGGCAAGCCTCTCGCTGTTCCCGACACTCTGGTCGGTTTTGTGTCCGGAGCACTTGTCCATCGCAAAGAACGAGGCGAAACAGATAGTGAGGCGCAATGTTTCGTGGAAGGAACTTTCCGCACTGCTCGTCATTGGCTAGTCCCACACCCATATCCATATCTTCAGCCAGCATCGTGATATCAAGAAACTTGAATTTCACTCTGCTGTCTCTCCCCAACAGAACTCTATGTCCTCCTTCCGCAAGAGGTAGAGTGAACGCCAATACTTGAGCTTCAGGACACATCTCAAGTGCAGTCGCGAGGAAGCCTCCAGGGGCGGCGCACATGTCAAGAATCCGCGGCCGTTGTGTGCCACGGCTTATGACTGAGAATGCGTCCGTCGCTGTGTCCAGCTCTTTGGCAATCTCGCGCATCATATCGAAGAAATACCTGGCAACTTTTTTACTCGCATGATCGGCTCGTGATTGTTGGTTTTGAAAATGTCGGTCAGCTTTGGGACTCTCCCAAACCTATCACGCAACGTCAGCATCAACCGTGGAGGCCATGTCGGCGCGGGAAACTTACGCGTTGCTGGACTTCATACAATTTTCTGAATATCGGGGCGTGATTCATCAAGTATGGAATGATTAAATCGGAAGGTTTGGGGCTGTTATTGACACCATCAGATAATGAGCCTGGCTTCCCTACCGGCGATGCCATGGCAAAAAGGCAGCAGGTGCTGTTCGGGAATCTTTTCGAGCTGCGAACCTCTTCGCAATCCGTGGACATCTGCTGCTGTACGACTTGACCTCCTTCTTTGACGAGATGGCTTTGTCTTTTGCTTGTTCAAGCATCAGGCCATCATACCGGTCAGCTGGCTTATGCGCAAGACTGCCTGTAGTCATTGTTGGCATTGCTGTGCCGTAAGAAGCTTAACCCACCTCGCCTTCTCGCCAATCCGCGTGCACCGAATATTGTAAGTTAGCTCGCTGTCTCGTGGCGCTCATCTATTGGCTTATGGGTGAAGACACGGGTCTGAAGCTTGGGATTTCTGGTCGGACGCGCAATGGCGGTTCTCCAGGTAGGGAATCTTCAATGCATGATTGGTACATGTAATAGTCAAGGGCCACCAGTCCAGCGTTATTGCTGTGATTACTTGCGCGACCTTATGCAGTGATAACCCACAGGATGCAGAATAATACCACTCTTGCGTCTGATCGTCGCATGCTTGGTATCGCTTCGAGGAAGTAGAAGAAGCACGCGGTATGGCGAAAGGATCCAAAATCGCAGAAAAATTACAACTGCACTATAAACCTTAGAGAAAGCTCGGTATGTACTGCCTAAGCTTCCACCTTTCGATCCTGAAGCCGGCAGCCATGATCCGTCTCCGCCACTCGCGATTCTGTGCAATGCTATCAACTCTACGAGCAACCGCAACAGTGACAAGCATCGGCAAAGAGAGCACATGTGGAATTGGAAACCGCCCTTATGGGCTTCCGGGGGCAAGCATCCCACCGCTGCGTCAATGAGGGGTTGACCGGCTACGAGTGCGCCAGTCTGCCATCCGCACTCAACAGCCCCCGCCCTCGGTCAACAGTGGCAGCAAAACCCCCGTCATCCGCGGTTTGCTGTGTCGTCTTTATTGCTCTTGTGCGTCGCCGAGACTCGCCTCCAAGCGGGCAGACGTAGACCTCATCCGCAGCCTGGTCATGGACTGCCACTCTGGTGGGTTGGAATAGTCTCCTATGGCTCCAATCGCAACCTCGGGAATCTGCTGAAGCTGTTGGCGCGTTCCCTGCCCTTGCACGCGCTTGTATGAACAAGGTCCTAACCAGTCAGGCGAACCAAGTGCTCGACTTTGCGAGACTCAAGTGCTGGCACAGACCTACTGCGTGGGTGCTCGAGGTTTTACGCTATCTTGACGTGACGCCAGACTGCAGGGTAGCCCGCCGCTAACGAATCGGACGGCTCCCCGCGCCACCCCGACACATGCCCGCCGGAACATGCTGGAGGCTCTTTCATCCGCCTGGTGTCACCTCATTTGTCCGGGCCAGCATCACCGCAGCCCCATAAGCCTAAGCACCGCAGCATGCACGGCGTAACCTGCCTGGCGCTTCCTCGGACGGAACGTCCCCCACGCCACATGCACCGAACAAGTGCCACCGTTGTCAGCCTTTGCGCGTGTGTTGAGGAAGGGCGTGCACTTCACCGTCCGTGTCAAAAACATCCAGGGTCTTTTCGTGGGTTGTGATCGCGTCGATGGCCAAACCAACCGGAAGCCAAGCCTGTGCTCCCGACAGGGACCCCCATGTGCTATGGAGCTAACCGCATGCATACATGCAACGTCGAGAGCCCTCACAACGGGCGCTAGTCTAGATTGACACGCTGCGGCAGAGACTGAAGCGAGCGGCCACGGCACTGCGACTGGACCACGATACGGTGCAGCCGCCAGGCGTAATGCCAACGCGTGCCACTGCTCGCCTGTCTCCGTTGTTTGACAACAAGGGGGCTTGATGGCGTAAGGTGCGCAAGCTAGCAAGTGTTTGCTGTCACCTCGTCCGAAGAGCATGCTACTTCGGCCGCCCTGCGCCATAGGTACCGTCAGGCGGGCGTCGTTCAAGGTATGCTCCGGCTGCATTGACCAGGTGCTCCAACGCCATCCTGACGATGCGTCCAAGTGTGCCAGCCCATAAACCTGTGTTGGAGCACCGTTGCGAGAGCTCATGGCACGCGATTTGTGTCGCTATCCCGGCCTCGTGCAGTTGAGGTGGCGGCACAACACGCGGTGGCGACGCGTCCTAGATTGCGAACTGCCAATCACAGCGACGCGTCCCCTCAGCACTCGAGGGAAGAGGCACGCCACAAGACGACAGAGGCCGATCGTGCTGCCAGAGCACACTGGAGGGTCTCGAGTGGTGCCTCTTTCCAGGATAACGTGTTGCTAGTCATTGCGTACGAACACGTCGTGCTGCCGTTGTCTGC